GGTGGAATTCCTTATGTCATAAACGCAGGCCTCAGCAATGTTTCCATCCATTTCAACCATCCCTTACCATGGGATAAATTCTTAAAGATTTTGCCCGATCTCATATAATCTACGATATTGTCGCCTGCAGCACATAAACGGGACCAGATCCAGTTTCGTTACTAAGAGTTTGTCAATGTTCAAATGACACTAACATTTCTAACGTATTTAAGCTCTCACGCTGATATGCGATCATAGCGTTGCGACGAACTGCCTTCCTTAAAAATTGCTAACAGTGACACTTATGTGGGTTTTGTGATGTTTTCTCATTAGGGTTAATGTCTAGTCTCTAATAGGTTGCAACTGACTGTAGATTTACATTATAGTCGCTACTACCAGCCGTTGAAGACGCAAAGGACCCATCCATTGACTCCAGAAGAAATTGTTTACTCAAAAAATTCACTTTCTTCTATTTTAAAAACCCCAAAATGACCAGAGACCTTACATAGTAGCAATCTGGAAACATCTCCATACGTGTAAAAGTAGTACCATCATTCTATAAAGGATTTTTGTCATCCCTTACTCCTGAACCTTACTTTCGTTTTAGAAAAGAAATGTTTCAGGTTCAGCCTTACTGCACCTCCACTGGGTCGAATACGGAACTCCACTTGCTGTCTGAGGCCGAACTTGAGAATACTGTAGCGACTGTTGTAGCTCAGCATCTTGATAGTATAAAAGAAGGAGAAGTAAAGAAGACAGAACAACGCAGCGCTATAAAATCATTAGACGCATTGCCTGACCACATTTCGAGGTCTCAAACGCAAAGAGATCTCGATCTTGGTAAAAATGTGGTTCCTCGATTACAAAAATTACGGGTTTTAGACAAAATGATTGGCGAAAGAACAGCCGTGGTGGAGCAGTTTGATGAAAGTCTCGTGAAAATGGAGATAGCGAGAAAACGCGAGTTAATACTAAAATCTAGAAGTGCTCAGATAAAGCTGCCACAAGCGGAGCTGTCGAAAGCAAATGCAAAGCTTGAAGCGTTACTTAAACCTTCGCAAAGACCAAGAAGTAGGGATGCCGCTACTCAGTCCGAGCGAGCA